AAATCTGGACTGATCCTTTTTTCGAAATACGCGATTTTAGATTTTCATAGTAAATTCAACTTTTCCACTGATTTTGATCCGATTTTTTTTTTATTTGTACATTGAATCGGTGTTGATCGGTTAACGTTTTCATTTTTCGTTCGATTCATGTCGATCATACATACCCCTCGTTACACGCACACTTCCTTTCATACCCTTTTTTTTTTAACTGAAAAATTCGTCTTCAGCTGCGTCTGCGGCAATTGTTGTTACGAATATGTTGTGCGTGCTGGTTTCAGGTCATTATATACACGAATCTCTGAAGGCGTTTTATGTGCGAGAGCAATTCGCCTTCAGCTGCGTCTGCAGCAATTGTTGTTACGAATATGTTGTGCGTGCTGGTTTCAGGTCATTACATACTCGACTCTGTGAAGGCGTTTANAAAATTGTTGAATCAGCAATATCAATTTTTTTCCGTGCAGTAAGACTTGATAGACGTGAAAATTCCAATGCGTTAGTTGCAATATCCACCCGCAAATTCTGAGGTAAAAATGATTTTAATATAAATTCCCGCGAAAATTCCGAACTCATTATTTCACTGGAAAAAAGTGGAAAGCTAAGAGACACTGCAGTTTTCTAACTCGGAGGTTTTGTTTCTGGGAATAAAGTTGATGTTTGCAATTAATCCTTGGACGATCTCTGAATCCATCTGCCATTCTCTTCTACTTAATTCGTATTAAAATACGGCTCGGCAAATTTCTATGAAATGCTAATGCTGCAGATCGGCGAGCAAAGCCTGATTCAGAGGAATGAGTGCGCTACACGTTTCCTCGGAAAATTGCATTTCTCCAACGACGTACGCGATGGAAGGTTTAAAAATAAATTCCTTGAGAAGATAATTTAAATTAGTGTGATATACTACAACGATGAAACTGCAAAATCGTGTATCCCGTCTTGACATGCTGCTCATTTTTCTAGGATAATTTCTTTCGCAATTCGAGTGCCAAAATGTCTTCATTTTCAAATTTCCTGACATTCCTTGGCTATTTTTGATTTTCCATGACTCCAAAATTTTCTAATTCCCTGACTTTCCCTGACCTTTTGACGAGATTTATACTTTTTCAATGCATTGAAGTTTACTCAACTTTATATACCATTTCTTTGTCTGCAGATAGAATTTTTGGAAAAGGCGTTGACCATAGCTGCTTAAAAGATAACAGCCCTAAAATTGACCGGAAAGAGTTAACAGTTATAGAAGGGAAGGGATATGTTTTAGTGATGAGTTAGATGTATCAGCAAATCTCGGATTATTCCCACAGATGCCCTGACTTTCCCTGATTTTACACGGTCGTCGCAAATTTCCTGACTGTTCCTTACTGGAAAAAAAAAACACATTTGATCTAGAGTCCAGACTCTTGAAAACATTGACAAGAAAAAATACTCTTGATTCAATCAGATTTTTGCTTAAATCAAAAGGAAATCCGCTCAAATTAAGAGGTTTGGTTCTTGATTTAAGCAAAAATCCGATTGAATCAAGAGTACCTATTTTTTCTTGTCAATGTTTTCAAGAGTCTGGACTCTAGATCCAATGTGCTTTTTTTCCAGTGCTGATTTTCCAGACCGCTGGCAAACCTGTTTACAACATGTTTTAAGCACTCCCCTAACATCCTTACTCTGTACGAGGAATATTCTGTGAAAATTTACGGCAGTAAAGTTGGTTCTCTTTCCATAGATAAAATAAAGTGGAAAATCTTGAAACCAAACGAGGTACGCGATTTTGCAGTTTCACTGTCAACTGAAAATACGGAGTTCAGCGGATTGGATCGGTCAAATCAAGCACGTTATTAACTGATTCAAGAAATTGTTTTGAAACAATTTATCATCAGGCCACGTCACCTTTTACTGCAGTTCTACCTGGATGGCTTTAAGCAAAAAAGAACCGGCGCGATTACAGTGTTTTCAAAATCGTGCAACTTCTTCTTTACTTTTAAAAATACTTAATATATGTACAGTATTAAAATCTACACGGTTATTTTCCTTTAATAAAACATTTTTTGGTGGGAAGCGAAAACTATTTCCTACTCTAGGCATTTTTTAGAAAATTATGAAGAAGTAATATTTTGTATTTAGATTTTGTATTTAAGTAGTGAGATTTTGATTTTTCGCGATTTTAAGTGTGCACGTACCATGAACTCACCCCGAGCAAACCATTTTTGGGTACATTTTTGTCGCAAAAACTGGTCAGAAAAGTGGTCTTGTTATTGACCAGTTTATGACTGTTTCTCGGCTCAAGAAGCCTCGCCTAGAGTCGTGACCGTGCGAAATCGATTCTGCGACTCCAACTACGTAGGATCCGACTAAAATCTCAACATTTCTTTCTCAGTCCCAAATCGAGAAAAATCGAGAGGGGTTACAGGGACTAAATTTTTAGCGTCAAAATCGACAGTTTGCCGATCGGGCCGAAAAAAAGTAAGCTCGCTTGGAATTGACCCGCTGAGTGGGATTTTCCAGTCGGAAAAGCTACTCGAGTCCCTCGCTACGAGCTATCCGCTGAAAACGCTCCGAAGAAAGAGACAAAAAGTGGTCAGAAAAGCTAGTTTTTGACCATTTTTTACTGTTTCTTAGCTCAGGGAGCCTCGCCGAGTAGTGGGACCGCGCGGAGTCGATTTTTCGCCTTCAACTACGTAGGATGCGACTGGATTCTCGAAATTTTTTTCTCAGTCCCAAATCGAGAAAAATCGGCAGGGACTAAATTTTTAGCGTCAAAATCTAAAGTTCGCTGATCGGGCCGAAACCAAGTAAGCTCGCTTGGAATTGACCCGCCGAGTGCGATTTTCCAGTCGGAATAGCTCCGCAAGTCCCTTGCCTCGAGCTAGCCGCTGAAAACGCTCCAGAGAAAGAGTCAAAAAGTGGTCAGAAATGCTAGTTTTTGACCAGTTTTTTACTGTTTCTCGACTCGGGAAGCCTCGCCGAGAGTCGGGACGGTGCGGAATCGATTCTACACTTCCAGCAACGTAGGATGCGACTGAAATCTCGAATATTTTTCTCCGTCCCAAATCAAGAAAAATCGACACGGATAACATGGACGAAATTTTTCGGGTCAAAATGGAAATTTTGCCGATGGAGTCGGAACCAAGTAAGCTCGCTTGGAATTGACCCTTGACCGATTTCTGTATCGAATGTGAGGTTTTTTTCCAAACACTATTCTGTTTTCATTCCTCTTGATTTTGCCGATTTTTGGGTTTAGAATGATTCTTTAGACTCATGCGCAGGGGCTATCGTCCTTTTTTTTTTGCTGAAAATTCAAAATCTGCCGAGATTTTTTATCTAAAAGATAAAGAAAAAAGCGACAAAAATGTATCCAAAAATGGTTTGCATGGGGCGAGTCTATGGTACGTGTACACGTAAAATTGTGAAAAATCAAAATCTTGACTGAAACCTTGACCTTTATTCGAAATACGCGATTTGAGATTTTCATAGTAAATGCAACTTTTCCACTGATTTTGATCCGATTTTTTATTTTTTTGTACATTGAATCGGTGTTGATCGGTTAACGTTTTCATTTTTCGTTCGATTCATGTCGATCATACATACCCTCTCGTTACACGCACACTTCCTTTCATACCCTTTTTTTTTTAACTGAAAAATTCGTCTTCAGCTGCGTCTGCGGCAATTGTTGTTACGAATATGTTGTGCATGCTGGTTTCAGGTCATTACATACACGAATCTCTGAAGGCGTTCTATGTGCGAGAGCAATTCGCCTTCAGCTGCGTCTGCAGCAATTGTTGTTACGAATATGTTGTGCGTGCTGGTTTCAGGTCATTACATACTCGACTCTCTGAAGGCGTTTTATGTGCGCAAGTGGCGCACCCTGTTGGAGAACTGGCGAATTGCTCTCGCACACAAAACGCCTTCAAAGAGTCGAGTATGTAACTACCTGAAACCAGCACGCACCGCATACTCGTAACAACAATTGCCGCAGACGCAGCAGAAGGCGAATTTTTCGGTTAAAAGAAAGAGTATGAAAGGAAGTGTGCGTGTAAAGAGAGGGCATGTATTCGATCGACTTGATTCGAACAAAAAATAAAAACGTGAACCGATCAACACCGATTCAATGTACAAATAAATGAAAAGTGGATCAAGATCAGTAGAAAAGTTGCATTTACTATGAAAATTTCAAAGCGCGTATTTCGAAAATAGCACTAGCCAAGATTTTGATTTTTCGCGATTTTAAGTGTGCACGTACCATGGATGGACTCACCCCGAGCAAACTATTTGTGCGTACATTTGTGTCGCATTTTTTTTTTTTTGTTTTTTTTTTTGTTTTTGCTTCAAAACCACTGTGCCGGGACTCATGCGGAATTTGAGATACACCCTCACGCCATAGGAGCAACGAATTGGACCAAGTTCAGCCGGAACTTACCAGTTACCATGCCGCATTTTGAAAATAGAGGAGTTTGTATGTCGCACGCAGAGGCTATGCATATTGATCCTTTTAGCTTAAATAGTCCAACTTGAGTGCATATTCATTCCGATGTATGCATGACTGGATTGCAATTTGCAAAAAGGAACCAAGAGCATTCCAATATTGCTAGGATTGTGCAACTTACATTCCTTGCAATAAAATTACTAAAACCTTGCAAAAGATTAATTTTTTTTTTTTTTTTTTTTTTTTTTTTTTTTTGGAGTAAAGATACAACTGGTTTTTTTTTTTTTTTTTTTTTTTTTTTTTTATTAGAGAAATAGAAAACTACAAGGTATTAATTCTATTTGTGCTAACTTAAGGATAATACTAATAATATGTTAGTGGGTGAAAAAGATTAAATTTACTATGGTAATTTTCGTATTGAATTTATAGTTTATTGGGAGTATTATAAAACTTATTTAGATGGTAAGTTTATTTTTGCAAGGTAAAAAAATGTGCACAATTATAGCGACATTGGAATGTTTGTGGTTGTTTTTTGCAAAATGCAATCCAACTATTAGAGACACCCAGTGACGAAACTCAAAATCTAACCTACCTGGAGATCAAGGCGAGTTTCACAGAGGTCACCTATGAAACCGAGGGGACAGAGACAGACGGCTGACTGCCCAGACACCATGCACTTCCCTCCGTGCTGGCATGGCATCCGACTACACCGATCAGCTTTGCATTCCTCTGAAAAAGATAAAGAAAAACGAAACATTAAGTTAATCTTTTCGCCCATCTGTTTTTCAATTTGTTCCGTAGAATGTGAGTCTATTTTAAGGAAGGGCATTCATGAGACTAAAATGTTATGCAACGAAATTTTGAATATAGACACTGGATGCCGCATTTAAAGTAATTTCCTCAACAGCTCTTTACCTTTAGGTCACAAGGTGGAGAAATGGTGCTGGGTCCACACACCTTTTCGCTGGGAAATCAAAGCCAAGAAGTTCTAAAAATTAAAATTTGAGTCAAAAATAAATTTTTTCAACTCTAATGAGTACCAGTACAAAACTGACCATCAATATTTCACCTAATATTCCAATGCAAACTGCCTGAGCTGAACACTCTCCCCCTTAGTTTTGTACTGGTTAGAGTTAAAACAATTTATTTTTTACTCTAATTTTGATTTTTGGAACTTCTTGGCTTTGATTTCCCCGCGAAATGGTGTGGACTCAGCACCATTTCTCCACCTTGTTACACTCAGTTCGGGCCACTTCTTAGTAATTTTTTCTCTCATTTTCCTTTAGAGGGTTGTCATACGTCCTCTTTCTCCCGCACATGTCCTAGTTTTGGCATCCTGTCCACGGTGTTCGAGGATGTTCCTAAAAAAGCGGAAAAGTCCAGGTTTCTCGGCATTTTTTGAGGCTCTTTTTTGCAATTTTTGGCTCTTCGTAAGGTCTTGGTTTCACATTAAAAATTGGACGCATTTCTGTCAAACAGAACGATAGACGAGTGGGAAAGATGAGATGTCCTCCAGAAAAACTGCATAAGAAACAATGTTAAAGTGGGCGTGATTGCTTCTTGGGGAAATGGAAAAGCGGGATTTTACATTCTGTCAAACGGAACTATGTGTCAAGTGAATGCGGCACTCATAAACCAAGTGCATGAGAAAAGAGAGCTGTGGACAGGGCTCATGAGTTAATGCCGACCAAGAGCGACAACGGTGACGGTTTCTTTGCCGCTGACGTCACTGGCGCTTTATGGTTCCCATTCATTCTCACGGCTCTCGACTAACGAGCACACTCCTTCTTTACCACCGGTTCCAGGACTTCAGTCAACGATTTTTTGTCCGGGCTCCTGCTTAGTCCAGTAATTTACGTCCACGCGTAAAATAAGAAACAGTGACTTGGTCCAAATCTTCTATTTCAGTCCGTATGTAAAATTATATTAACAATATAAAATTAGAAAATTGAGAGAGAAGGTGTTGTTATGGTAACTCATTTTTTAAATGAAATGTTACTTTCTTCTTTTGATTAATGGTGAATATTTGGTTTTATTTCTATCTATAAAATTGTCGATTTAAAATATACCGTGTATACATATACCTTTTTTAAAATGATAATTACTACCAAAATTCTAAAACTGTCTTCACCTCTCTTAATTTAAAAATCTAAATTTTCGTATATACTCCCATTTTCAATATTATCTGTAAAGACGTTAATAGCCTGTGACGCTGAATGTCTTATGGTATACTAACTAACTAACTTACTTCATTTTAAAAACATTATATTTTTAAAACGTGGCAAATATTTTTAAAACATTTTCCAAGCTATGACATCGATATGAATCTCAATGAGCCATACTTGTGTTGAGAGGAACTATCCAAAAATGAAAAAGAGAGAGAGAAAACCAAGGAGGGCGCAATCTTTGGTTTTAACCCATTTTTACATCGATCTTTTACAGTCAAACACGTCCAATTTTTAGAGTGTGGTTCCGAATACAACACGCTACAGCACAGTAAAATCACAAAATATAAAAGAAAATATGGGAATGCTTTGGAAATCATTAGATTAGATACGGAACCGCCTTAATATTTTCAAAATACACGTTACATTTTCCTTCAATACATGTTTTTTTTTTTTTTTTTTTTTTTTTTTTTCTTTTTTTTTTTCATCAATTGAGATGAGAAAAATCCGTGCAGAGCGTGCAAACATTTCAAAATCATGAGTTGAAAAACGCTGACTCCGCGAGTTTAAATATTAGAGCCCAACACAAAGCTATATGCGCACTGGCGCCTACAAACCTAACGGGATACTTCCCGCGTTGCGAAATGCGTGAAGTATCCCTGTTAGGTTTGTAGGCGCCTATGTGCGTGTCACGCAGGTCGCTCAGCGAAGTCCGGAGTGCTACGGCGTTTCAAGCAACTATTTCGCGACGTAGGTGTTGCACAGTATCATACGAGATTGAAGGCGCTCCAACGTATCAAGAATGAAAAGTTTCCTTTCATGGTAAAGAGCTTTCCTTGCAAAATAAATCAAGATACTACGTTACAAAAAGAGAGCGGTAATCTAAAAAACTTACTTAGTCCTAGCATCCGTATTTAAAACAACGTTTAGCTATAGTTTTTGAATTCATTAGAGAAAAATGCGACTCGATTTAGGCAGAAACATTCTTGAGTATAACGTTAAGAAGATTTTATTTTGAATCAAGAATAAAATAGCTCAATGAAAGAGGGTTTCTGCTTGATCTAAGTGATTTTTCTTTTTATTTAAGCATCCTTTTTTCTCTAAACAGGCATTATTTTCTTTATTGACATATAAGGAAATCTTCTCGGCGATAAATTTGAGCATATTTTTGCTTGAATCAAGTCACTTTTTCCTATAATTCAGTTCAAGAAGCATGGTAAACGTTACTGGATCCAGATACTAGGACTTAGCAAGTTCTTCGATTACAGCTCTCTTTTTTTCGTGTAACTCGATGTAATTTGCGAGGGAACTTCGTGCTTTTGAAAGATGTCATCAATCATGATATGTTGGGGTCCCTTCAATCTTGTATAATACTGTTAGTATGATACTGACGCCAACATTCTCAATTATATATTTGTTTCCGTTTGGCTAACCAAACAAACAAAAACCGAGCAAATCCTCATTCTTCCAAAACATTATACATTTCATCCAAACACGTCGTGAGCAACTGTTGTTTGTATTTACATGTTGACCAATTAACTTTGGGTCTCAATAATTGGTAAGTGGACCAAAACTCCCATGCGCGAAAAAACGCGTGGACTTAAACTACTGGAAAAAACAAGTGCTCGGACAAAAAATCGTTGACGAAATGTCCTGTAACCTCACCACCTGTCACTAGCTCCGCTTGGCGATGACGTAGCATGGTGTCAACGATCATGGTGTCAACAAACAGTTTTACTAAGTTTTTGTTGACACCATGATCATCCAAAAAAAAAAATTCTGACTCTTATGAAAAATGATCACGGTGTCAACGATCACGAGGTCAGCGAAACTTAAAACTTACCTCAATAACATCTTTCAAATTTCAAGTCTTGTTTTTCTTGTGTTATTTACTCTAACCTAACATAACCTAACCTAACCGAACCTTACCCAACTTCACCTCACAAGACATAGCCCATTTTCACAGAGCTTAACTTTCCGCGACCTTACCCTACATAACTTTAACCTTACCTACTTAATCTATCCGTACAAGTCCTGACCTAAACTAACCTGATCCAACTATACGTGACCCAGACCTCTCCTGTACAATTAATTTTTTAATTTTACTCATAAGGAAGATATTTTTCTGTTTGTTGACACCGTGATCGTAGACCCCATGCTCAGGGCCCATTTTTGCGTTTTACTGCCTGAGCACGACGTCAACAATCGTTGACTCCATGATCAGATTTTCGGTTTGTTGACACCATGATCGTTGCCACCTTGCAACGTTACCCGCTTGGCAGAAATATGTCGAATCGTTCTCTTTGCGAGTGAATGCCATTGGCGGCGTTTCGGGCAGCGTGTGCTTTGTTGAAGTTGCGTATGAACTGGAATGGTACTCACCGACGTCGAAGCCTTTGACGACGTCACCCTGGGGCTGGGGGGCGAAGTTGTAGACGTGGTCGTTGACCTCGAAGTGGCGGATGCAGCCGCGGAACCCGTAGTCGGTGGGCAGCTTGTCCAGGAGCCCGGTCGTGTTCCCGCGGCCCCCGATGAACACCGGCTCCCGGAACGTGATCCGAGAGAACAGACCCTGTAACACCAAACACCCGCACAGTCAGAAAAACTAACCAAAATCTCCTGGTAATACACTGGGAAAAAAAACACATTGGATCTATGGTTCAGACTCTTGAAAACATCGACAAGAAAAAATACTCTTGACTCAATCAGATTCAAGCTTAAATCAAGAACCCAGCCTCTTAATTTGAGCGGATTTCCTATTGATTTAAGCTTAAATCTGATTAAATCAAGCGTCCTTTTTCTTGTCAATGTTTTCAAGAGTCCGGACTCTAGATCGAATGTGTTTTTTTCCCCCAGTGTACACGAAGTAAGACACCAAGTAACACAATCAATGGGCCTGTTGCAAACATTTGCAAGAGCAAAAATAGACGGAGTTAAACAGAAAGGAACCAAGCCAAATCGAGATCGAACCCAAAAAAAGAGGTTTAAAGTTTGGCTCCTGCATAAGACTCAATGTGAAAGATAAACTTTAAGTTCAATTTCTGCAAAATTTGCTCCAACAAAAACTTTGAATTTTTGGCGATGAGTATAGAGCAGTGGTTGAGTTCAGAATCACTCATAACTCAATTTTTTCCAAAATGTGGGTTGGTTCCTTTCTGCTTAACTCAGTCCAAATAAGAGTTGATTCTTAATGAAAAAGGCTCAAAAATCTCGATGAGCGCATAAAAAAAGTCTGAAATGCACTCCTAACTTCACAATCTGCGTAAGAAATTTGCATTTTTCTTTTAGCTCCCCGCTTCAAAAACGATACTATGGCACAGGTGAACATTTCGTTGGAGGTGTCGTTCTATCCAACCCATGTGCACTAGGATACCACACAACACTGGAAAAGAAACACATTGGATCTAGAGTCCAGACTCTTGAAAACATTGACAGGAAAAATTACTCTTGATTCAATCGGATTTCTGCTTGAATCAAAACGAAATCCGCTTAAATTAAGAGACTTGGTTTTAATTTAAGCTAGATTCTGATTGAATCAAGAGTACTTTTTCTTGTCGATGCTTTTAAGAGTCTGGACTCTAGATCCAATAAGTTTTTATTTCCAGTGTAATGAAAATGGCTCAAAAATGACGATGAGCGCACAAACAAAGTCTGATATGCAGTCCTAACATCACAATCTGCGTAGGAAATTTTCATTTTTTTTAGCTCCCCGCTTCAAAAACGATACTACGGCACAAGTGAACATTTCCTTGGAGGTGTCGTTCTATCCAGCCCCTGTGCACTAGGATACCACACAATACTCAACATGGCCGACACCAATCCACGTCAAAACACGTGTGCCTGGACGAGATTCTAACCATGTGTTAACAACCCGGAGTGTTTAGATGGACGATTTCTTCCCGTTGATAAAGATCCGCTTTGATTGACCTTGTGCTCCCGATTGCGCTTTGCGCGCGGAAAGCGTCGCGTCGGCTATGTTGGGTATTGCAGCTGCGAAAGGGTTGGATGGAGCGACTCTTCTAACGAAATGTTGGGGACAGGGCCCCTTTTATTTTTGAAGTTTGGTTAATTTTCAGCTAGGCATTTAGTTATGTAATTCAGTCATGCACGTGTCATGCAACGTGACCGTTATGCAACCATTACGCAAGCGTTGCGCAAGCGTTACGCAATCATTATGTAATAACACCTATAAAAGCTCCAGCTCTTCAGCTTTTCAGCGAGTAGTCATCGAGTAGTCGTCACAGTCTCATCCCATCTACAGCTCCCGGGCACGCCTGCTGTTTGGCTGCCCCTTCTTGCACTTAACGTCGTGAGGGTACGCTTGAAGTTTGGCTACCTTTGGCGCACGCCTGTGTTTGGCTGCGACCTACGGCACCTCTCTGGCACGCTTGCTGTTTGGCTGCCACTCACTTATTTACTAATTGATGCTACTCCTAGGGAAACTAGATGCCTGGCCTAACAAGGCATACCCTTTTTTTGATTTTTGAATTTTGTTATTTGTTCTTGGTTGTACGGCTCTCTGTGATGAGAATATCGCGCGGCTTGATGCCAAACTCGATCTTCTGAGAGAGCCAAAACCAAACCAAATAGCGTTCTTTTCACGAAATGTTCGCCTGTGCCGTAGTATCGTTTTTGAAGAGGGAAGCTCGAAAAACCGCAAGTTTCTTGAGCAGATTGTGAAGTTAAGTGTGCATTTCAAACATTGCCAATCGTGATTTTGAGACATCTACGTACTTATAGAAACTACTCTTATATTCGCTCTGGCAAAAGTTGGCAGCAGGCCCATTGATTTTGTAGTTGAGTTGTAGTTTGAGTAAATTAGTTGATTTTACTTATCGAATTTTTTCTTGTGTCAAATCTACCAAATCTTTGTGTTGAAAATCTACGACCTCGTTCAAAATTTGTCGCCAGGCTTGAACCAGGATCTCATCAATGGCACTTTAATGTGCTAGCCATTCGCAAGTCGGGACTACTGAATACTGGGAGGAAAACAAGAACACATAAGTTCGGCAGGGCATCTCTTCATGTCCAGATAGCCTACGGTTTGGGTCGATTTAACACAAAAGTATGTTGAGCAACTAAGTCTTTTACACGAAGAAAAAAACGTGAAATACTTCGTTAGTACCGAAGAGTTCGGGTCACACATTTGAAGTGCTAACTACTTTCGGCGAACTGCGGCTGCTGGACCTCGAGTTCTCGGGATGAACCATCCGAAAACTTCATAGATCCATATGACTTTGACTCGAACTTCGGAAACTGGACCTCAAGTGTTCGGAAAACTTCAGAGATCCATATCATGACCTCAACTTCGCCATCCAATTCCCTCCCCCGATTCCCTCCCGAAACCGATTCCCTCCCCCGATTCCCTCCCAAGACCGATTCCCTCATGCGGCCGGAATCGATTTCCGATTCCCTCCCGGCTTTGAAGTAAATTGAAAATATGTGGCAACGTCGCAACAATTGATCAAGTAGTAAGACGAAATAATCAAGATCCAAAGTAAACTCACCATTCCCAGATACACCTGATACCGCACTAGGTCGCGTAGAAGAGGAGTAGAAATTCAGATAACGCTCTCTGTACACCCGTTTAAGGTACTTCATAGAAATTCGCCAAATGTTTTCTTGTGATGATTTTATTTTTTTGGTCTTATTTTTTTTGACGCGACGGACTCTGTACACCCGTTTAAGGTACTACAAACTTTTACAACTTCTACCACCTACTCTTCTACTCTTACGAGAAATGGCGCTGTATCAGGTGTATCTGGGAATGGTGAGTTTATTTTGGATCTTGATTATTTCGTCTTACTACTTGATCAATTGTTGCGACGTTGCCACATATTTTCAATTTACTTCAAAGCCGGGAGGGAATCGGAAATCGGTTCCGGCCGCATGAGGGAATCGGTCTTGGGAGGGAATCGGGGGAGGGAATCGGTTTCGGGAGGGAATCGGGGGAGGGAATTGGATGGCGGCCAAGAGTTCGGCTCACACATTTGAAGTGCCCCCGTGCATACTGGAGTACTTCAGACACTTCACTCGAACTGCGGCTGCTGGACCTCGAGTTCTCGGGATGAACCATCCGAAAACTTCATAGATCCATATGAGTTTGACTCGAACTTCGGAAACTGGACCTCAAGTGTTCGGAAAACTTCAGAGATCCATATCATGACCTCAACTTCGGGTCCCGAACAAGACATTTTTTTCTCCGTAATACGTTGACCTGACACAAGAAAAAGTAATACACAAAGTTTAACAGAGCTGAGAAAACGATTTAAAAGAGTAGCTGAAACGATGGAACCAATCGATTCGATATGTCGCACGTCGTTTGGACACAAGCTATGGCGTCCATCGAATCACCTTAATTTAGTTCTTAAAAAAATTAGTTTTATTCCATATTTCTTTCCTTGGCACATGGTGCTGCAGCACGTCGATCGTCTTGACCCTCGGCTGGCACGTCGGGCCTCGGTGCTCCTGCCGGCGGGANGGGGGGGGGGGTCTAATTAAGAGCAGTGGCAACTTCTCGTTAACGAAATTGATTAACTCCCACCGTTACCACCGTTACCGCCGCGTCGTAACGCTCTTTCATAATTACTCTCCCGCCAACCCCTCCCCCCCAGGCGCCCTTTTTCCATTTTTCTCCCCGGGATATTACCGCCGGAGTCACCGGGCAATTTTTCATCGGGTGTCAGTCCGCGAGTTTTAATGACGGCGCCGACTCAACCGTCGCGGATCCCTGCCGGGCTCCATCCCGAGTCCTCCGCGCTGATTATTGAAATTCGTAGACAAAGCGATAGACATAGAAGACAAACGGGATTTGGATGGATCCTATTGGTGGAAGCGGGTGGTTGCAATGGACAAAGGACGTGGGTGATGGACTAACTAACGGCAACCCACGAGAGACCCGATAATTAGTCCATCATTTTCTCCCTTAGTCTGTAAGAGCCACCCGTTTCCACCTATAGGATCGCTTCTTACTCTGTGTCTTCTTTGTCTATCGCTTTGTCTATCAATTTCAATGATCAGTCCGCTGGCCGATTATTGCAATTCATAGACAAAGCGATAGACAAAGAAGACATAGGGTGCATTGAGCGATCCTAATGGTTGAAATAGGTGGTTCCTATAAACTAAGGGGAAAATGATGGACTAACTGTAGGGTCTTTCGTGGGTGAACTTTAGTTAGTCCATTACCTACCCCCTTTGTCCATTGCAACAACCCGCTTCCACCCATAGGATCCATCCATGTCCCTCTTGTCCTCTTTGTCTTTAGCTTTGTCTATCAATTTCAATAATCGGCCCCCAGGCTCGAATCCCGATTCCTCCGAGCTGATTATTGAAATTTATACACAAAGCGCTGGACAAAGAAGATGAAAACAGGGGGACGATCACTGAAAAAAAGTATCTTAGGTCCGGAGTCTAGACTCCTAACAAATTTGACGAGAAAAATATCATTATTTGTAACATTCTGGTAGTAGCACTTGATTAATTTGATAGGTGGGTATGCAGGCAAGGTGCTGAAAAATGTGCAGAAATTAACTTAAATGGAAACTGTTATGCTGAATTTTAATTTTTGGTCGA